TTGAATATATTTTCTTGCAAGAATAATTTCTTGTTTTGTGATGGCTATATATGATAAGATATAATATCAAATGTCATAGCCAGTTGATTCTCACTTTACAATTTATCTGATAATATCTATCAGTTTGTGATCATGATATCATGATGATAGTGTAATGAGACATGTTTCAACTATTCAATTATATTCAGTTTGATGGGTATTGCATGTGGATGTTGAAAAATACATCTCTGGTATACTTTTTTAATGACTACTGATAATATTTCATACTGATGAATGATATTGTAGCTCAGCTTTATTCGAGAATTGATTATTAAAAGCCTTAATTAGCTTAAGAGTAACAAAGTATTCGAAATAACCTCTAGAGTAATAGTATTGGAATGACCTTGAACAGGACAAGGGCACAAATCTCGAAAGAGACACTATCGAAAGGGCTATCAATATCAATAACATCCAGTCTGTTTTCTGTATTTTCTTGGTTCAATTAGACAGATCGCTGCTCTCGATTAGCTAGTTATTGATTTCATCCTGGAGTAAGTTAAGGCCAATTAAACTGTCTGTATTTTGTTTTTGATTCCTTTGGTTCAAGTAGATCAGATAGCAACAGCTTTAATGACGAATACACGCAACAATACTCACCTCAAATCAGCATTGATACTATCTTTAACGTTGTCAGTGACTACTTAATGCGCTTCTATATAACTGAGTCTGACTTTTTACAAAACACATTCGCGACAAGGTGAAAGTTCTCAAAAAAATCTGTTCAACTTTAAACTTTTAATATCGTCAGTCAGCTGTGTATAACGCTCCGATTATACGGTATTCCAGCTCGCTTAAAGCAATTCTTTATGGTTGAATGTTAGGACATTGGGGCGCTGGATTCCATGGCTACTGTCTAAGAACATTAGACCAGCAGTTTTCAGCCTTTCAAGTTGTTCTTCTTTGGATTTTCTAATTTCATAACTGAAGTCTATTGCTTTATTGATTATTGATCATAGCTTTATACACTCATGATTTGATCTTAAACTCAATTGAAAGGATTCCTGTATGTGAGTGTTGAAAAATTACACTTCTATAGGCCTTTTACTTGATCAATATTATTTTTACACTGTTTCAACACTTTGTAGTCTACGATACACAAACCAGCTCAAAATATCAACACAACCTGAACTATCAAAATATCAGATTCAATTAACTTTTTAATGTCGAATAGATCCAAATACCTTTCAACAACAAAACCACCTCGTTAACGACACGCCTGATTTCAAATATGGGAACGAAAAAAATTCACTGATCCCTTTTCTTCAACTCTTTGCCAAATTACTCACAGCACAATTATTGAGGCCATTTCCACTTCATTTAGAAATTTCATTCGAAATTTGGTTACAGCTTTGTGTCAACCTTACTTTTGGGCATGTTGTCTGGTTATGTATACTATTCTTCCATTGGAAATTAGCTAGAGAACTGTGAGCACTGTTTTAGTATAGTCTCCATTTCTGTTTATGCTATGATTAACGTCATTGTACTCAGCTTTGAATGGCCCCGTTATGTCAATGCACCATAGTTATGAAAGGTTCTTGGAGTGTTAAATACGTGCTTGAAGTGTTAAATATGGTATATAACGTGTGTTTATACCGCTTAATACTGTTCAAGTAGTCAAACTATTTGATTCAAAGAGTGTTATTATGTGGACTTTGAAATTACAAGTCTCTAGTTTCACTGTATATTTGAATAAACATTTTTCTGTTTTATCAAGTTAGATTGTTGATTTAATCATCTTTTATTCAATTAATAAACGTAGAGGACGACGTACTTGGGAGTCATAAGACGTTGTAATTGAATTAGTCGATGCCTTACGATCCATTAGATCTCACTATTACAAGACTCTAGTATTAAAGCACATACAATCAATCAATAGTAAACCACAATTGGATAGCCTAGTCCTTAAAAAGTAGCACCTCAATTCACTTCTGAGTATCATTAATTATAAATCTATTCAAGTAACAGATATACGACAAAAAACTATCACGTGATCTCAGCTCAAGCGATTTTCAAATGATGAAAAATTTCAAACTTCAAACTTCAAACTTCAAAGTCAACGATTTGAACTGCATGACTGTCCCAATAGTATACTTATTGGATACCCTGCGCCATCTTTTATGCCCAGAATGCTAAATAGCTGTTCTCCGTTCGTTACCAGGTTGAATGTGGAATCCATGGCAAGAAAAGTCTGCTCTCGAATCGGTCAAATGCTCCATCATAACCGAATGGATGTTAAGACTGTCTACAATTGTTGAATGGGCTAATTATTAGCTGTACTTTTAATCAATAGTTGATTCACAATATTATTGTTAAAGTGTTCATCAGCTAATCAGGCCTTTTCTAAACACTGTATTATATATTTGATTGTATTTCAAGTGGATGTTGGAAAACACGTCCCTGAATACGTTTAATTGAATAGTAATTAGCACATTTTTGAATACTAGCTCCTTGTAGTTGAACACTCGGCCGCTAATATCCAGACTTGTGATGAACACACTTTTTTTCTAGTAAATTTTTTTGATACTTTACATGTCACAATCTTGTTCAACAGCTTGATTACTTTGGATTCACAGTAGCTTGTATGTGTTTAACCATTTAGTGCTTATGACTTGATGCCATTTCATATAGCTGGAAACTGAATCCTTTGAAAGGTTTACATCTTAATAAATCGATAATTTCGGTTTTCGATTGCACCCGTTCTTTGATGGTCGTAAGGATTTATGAACGCTGATTAGTATGTGTGAATTGCTTTCATAGTTGATTATAAACTTGAGTACAATTAATCACGCACTACAACACTCATTCAAGTTGAGGATTATTATGTAAATGCTGAAATTATGCATTTCTATAGTTCTTGATATTGGATTGAATTTGAATTGATTTTTTTCTAGTTTTATTTTGTAGTGAATTATAGAAGAACATAGATCAAGCCATGGCTTATTAAAAGAGTTGTCCAAGTTAAGAACCCATCTAACTACATTACTCACACCTTCTATTCTTCATAATGTCATGGCTACGATCAAATCATGAATTATTAATTACTTTCTCATCTTTTATAAAATTTTCCAGGACACGAATTTTCTTCATCATTAAAAAATTTCACGAAAAGTTTCATACAATTACTTGTCTAGTTAAAGTAAACCATAGCATTGTAATGTTTCTATGGAGCTGGTGTCATTCTAGCGTTTAAGGCGCAACCGGGTATTTTTGAGGGCATCTGTGATAAATAGTTGGATTTGATGTTTGTCAACATGGTTCAATTCCCCTTTAGACATTTTTGACCTCTGGTGATTGGGGACATGTTCAAATGCAGTTTAAGTGGACATCCTGCTCCTTAACATGAACGTCCTCCTTTACACTAAGCTAATGCCTGGGCGAATTTGCTTAATGAACGATTAGAGAGAGCTAGACACAGTGGTCCTTGATTGGGTTGCACTTGTGATAGATCTCAAATAATGTTCCAATTAATTAATTATATTCAAAATGGAATTGCTTCATTATATGTTTATGCTGAAAAATTGCATTTCTATACAAGCTTTAATTCTCAATTTTATTCAATTTTCATCAAGATACTAATATTGTAGAGATTTTACTCAGAATCACTACTACAAACTTGTTATGGCTTATGGGTTACGGGCACTGGGCAGTTGATGTTGTAAATTTTCAAGGCGAATTTTTATTTTGATCCAATACAATATTTTTTCACAAGTCACTTGATTGAATAACATTAGGGTTATTACCGTTTCTAGAGCTTCTATGATTGTAAGACACGATGTTTGGTCTTAGAATGCTATTGCGTACGCATATTCGTCTATTCTTGTAAGTTATTTTGAGTTGGAATCTTAAAGCTCCATACAATATTATTGAAATTTATTAACTCTTTAAATGAAGATGTGTATTAAGTGGATAAACTGCTATTATAAGTGCTGATTATAGCGTGGTTGATGTTATATGATTCTTCTTTCTGGGTCGTTACTGATTCAGCAGTTGAATGTTCATTAGAGTATCACTAGTTGTACTCCAATTGGTAACTCTTGAATTTCATCAAACCAAGCTAGACTACAAATTCATTGCATTGATAAAGTGGGCGTTGGAACAATACGCCTCTACTCTATAGACTTTGAATCTGATGTAATTTTCACTACAATTATATTTGTTTTGTAGTTGTGTCCCCTATGAGTTGTTATAGCCAGCCATCTTTGATGAACATAAAAAACGAAAACGATTATGAAAAGGGATAAATCTTTTGATCTCTTTAGATTTAAATCATTATACAAAAACCAAGAAGATAATGTTGACTATAAAGAAGTTCAATGAAAAGGTCAAGTCCAAGTTAAGACTGAATAAGAAAAATGATCATAATCAAATACTAGTACAATCCAAAGCTCCAGTGCAAAACAACAATATTGCTTATCCACCAAATGAATTCCAAATGAAAGTACAACTGATCTATCTAATACTGAGTGATCCTATGATGTTTCTTAGATGCTGTATAATGCTAATAATCATGAGTGGAGTGGTGATATTAATGATGAGTTATTGTCTACAAATGACACAAAATGTCCTAAATATAGTGGAAAAAGTCGTTATTGATGGATTGAAATGGGGTAGTTTGATGGGTACTTGGCCCACTATTTATAAGCTCGTATTGAGAGTGATTGGGATATAAAAATTAGGGATTTAATATGGAATAAATGGGGTTTTAATTGGGGTTTCACTTTATAAATCTCTATTATGATTATGTAATTTTATAGAACGGCTTTAAACGGCACACGGCACTATTTCCGCAAACGGCAATAACCGACTATAAGCTCATCTCCGGTTCGGCCACAAAGCCCCCGGAATTGTTCCCAATTTTTTTTTTTTTCAGGTGTGTAAAGTTTGAATTTTAATGTAGTTTGTGAATGTATTTGGAAATAATACATAAACAATAGATTTCAATTTTGATGATATTAGATGCCATGGACGAGTCATTCCGGCATTTCACCATCAACACAGCCATAGAAGGCAATGAGTCCAATAAGCGACAATTACAATTCCCAGCAGAGATTCTATTAAAAGTATTGGAGTTTCAATTTTATCAATTATTACAAAATAATACATCTTCAAATTCTTATAATATTCAATATTTCATGAGATCTAACCTAACGGTATCAAAGGTTTTCTATAGATGTTGCATCAAGATCATTTATAAATATTGTTGTTTTAAAACTCCACAAACTTTTGATATTTTTTTGAATTCATTAATTAAAAATGATAAATTAGGTGAATATGTTAAAGTGTTGGATTTCCAAGAATTTACATCAATTGGATTAGGTCGTACTGGTAAAATGAATAAAGAAATTCAAATGGTTACTTCAACAACTATATTAAATTGTTTGAAAAAAACTCCAAATTTAATTGAATTTTTAGCAAGTGAAAATATTAAAGATGATTTAGATTCAAATTTATTAAATTATTTATTTAATCAAATGGGGAATTTAAAAGCTATTGACTTTTGTGGATGTTCTGGTGAAGTATTTGTCTCAAATTTTGATCAATTAATCATTAAGAAACCTGGTAATGAATATATTACTGATGTTTCATTTCATGATTGTACAGATTTACATCCATGGATCCTAGAGAAAATAATTATAAATTTACCAAATTTAAGAAAATTAGATCTAACTCATACTCAAATAACTTCCACAATATTGAATTTAATTCCCTATACCGCACAATTAACTCATTTATCATTATCATATTGTATCCAGTTAACAACAAGAGAATTGATCAATTTTTTCATAAATCATCCAGCAA